TTTTTTATTGCTAGTCATTGCACTGATAATTATTTATTAATTAGATCTACAGAATTTTATATTCAACATTTCTCCTTAAACCAGTGCCTCTTAATGCTTTAGGTTGATGAAATTGTTGACAACCTGGATGTCAGGAAATGTTTGGACACAAGTGAGTAAACATATCAATTATTGTTTGTAAAAAATATAAGAATATTGTAAAATGGCACACCAACATAAATAAAAACAGTATGTAAACATACATTATAACATTGCATAGATATATATAGGCATGCCTGCTATAAAATCCCATGCCATATAGACTGTATCTTGTGGTGTGGAATAGATGTCATGTGTCTAATGTTGTAGTCAAAATTAAATTCATGTTAAAATCAATCGATCAATCGACCGACCAACCGACCGACCAACCAAGTGACCGTAGTTGGGCGCAAAGAGAAGGAGCTAGACCCTAACTTTGGAGAAGAGAATGGCTGGACCCGGAATTATGACAAGCGCGTAATTTGAGCTACAATCATAGTGTATATGGGGAAATTGCCTACAGGTGAGGGATTGTAGGTATCCAAGAAGAGAGTTAAGGGCCCATTAACCGATTTATGCGCGCACTCGCACGTGTTGCTAAGGAGTGAAATTTCACTTCCGGTTACTTACGTTAGCCTGAGCACGGAAAATAAAAACAAGTCAATAACTTGCAAATTCGCTTACATTTTAGATGTTTTTCTTTGTGTTTCACAAAATGCAAAGTAAAAAAAGTACAAGCAAAGACAAAATCAGAAAAAGACAGAAAAACAAGAGCAATAGCAAGAGAAAAACTAACTCTGTGTGGCTTTGTTTGATCTTACCGAAGTGCACTGGTATCTGCTGGTAGTGTAACTTGCACACGCGCTGATAGGGTAACTTCCAATATATACCGGGTGCACTTCCGGTTTCTTTAAATGCTAAAGGAAGCATGGTTTTTCATTAAATCTAGCCTTTTTTGACGGATTTCGATCAAAGCCAACGTTGGAAAGATAGCTATGCATTCCTTTTTCAAAATCATGCTTTTTTCAGAGCTCAGCACGGTGCAGTGACATTGTGGAAAGAAACCAGATACTCTTCAACAAAAGCTGAACAACAGATCAAACTATTGCCAAACTTTGAGCCAGTGCAATACAAAGTGGGCAAGAAGAAAGGTATTGCAGTCCTGATACAAGATCAAGAAGGAAACATCAAGTGCAACATAGGCCATATGAAAAAGTTTATCCAGCCAGAACTTTGCACAGAAATCCACCATACGCAGGAGGAGGGTGAGCAAGGCCAACGTCGCTCTTCAAAGCCCACCAGCGATCAATCTAGAACTTTCATGCGAACCCTCTGCAACAAGTTCTAGTCTACCTGCTTCCCTGCAGCCCATTCAAGCAAGGCAAGTCCTGGCCTGGATGAAGGACTTTGTCTTGTCCACTACCAGTACTTAAAAACATCCTTCACACTTGCAGTCAACCTTACCTTAAGGACTACACTGTAGTTTGTTTAAAAACATTGAACATTGGACAATAGATGTTCAGGATTATAGGACTCCCAAGCTAAGTGGAGGGGAGATGTAGTGACACTTGTGACATTTCCTTCACATTTTCACATGACCATGTTCTTTGTGGAGTCTGCCATCTTCAAAATCCAAAGTTAATGAGTTTCTGAAGTCTTTGTGTGTTGTAAAGTGATAGTGTCCAGATGTAATGTCTGTAACAAAACATTCATGAGTAGAGGTTCAAACATGTACAGGGTTTTTGTCTAAAGTAGCAATTAAATGCATTAGTTCAGTGAGACAATAGAAGAACAATCAAACAAGCTAAAAAACTGTTATATCAGTTGAGCTTACAGTGTTATAATGCACCTTACCGTTGCCACAGAGGAAAGTTTTTTATAAGTTTTTACAACTTTTTGAGAACTTCTGATCGCTTCTGTTTCAAATGGCCAATAATACTGCTACAAAGTGCCACAGGTTTCAAACGTTGGCAGGTTGAGATTTTTAAATTCCCACTAGAGTTATTGGTTAGTGTAATTCCTTCGACAGTTCGTTTTGTTCGCATTACTGCTGTAACACGAAAACTAATCACATTGTGGGCTATAATAAATTATTGAATATTAAATATATATTAGTTTATGTGTAGTTGACAACATGTATTTATATATACAAAATTATATCTTTTAATGTTTCAGAAATTGGGAACTCTTTTGAAAGAGGATTATCTGGAGGTATTAAAATTATTTGTTTGATTGTTAGTCAATGCATTAAAAATACTTGAAATCAGTCTGTATTTGATAAACATGCTCACATGCACCTGTACATGGGCGTACATGGACATACAGAGATGTATATCAGAGTATCAAAGTCAATGCTTACATAATCACCATTAATATTAATATGTTTTTAAAAGGTTCCTCTGTTCTTAACCTTTTCAGTTGATGATGTTTAGAAGTTTAAAATCCTAATATTTCAAGGAGACAGTTGTTGTCGAACCTTACAGTAATTAAGTCTGGTTATATTACAGTGCAAAGAAGAATGTTTCTTGTCTTTTCTATACAGGGGAGAAAAAAAGAGCAAACATTGGTTCTGAACTGATAACAAATCCTTCCTTGATTTTCCTTGACGTAAGTTTATACTGTATATGACGTAAATTAATGTACATTATTATACCTCTCAGTCACTACGCGCGCAGTGATTGGTCAATTTAGCGG